AAAGTTGCTGTAGACGGTTCGCGAGCCGTACCCGTTTAGACAACTTTGCGTGGTTGATATCCGTTACTGCCTTCGGTAGAGGGCCAGACGCTGTTGCGGCAATAAAAGATCAGAGCTTCTGGACATAGTTGATTAGAGTTTGCCCTCGTACACGAACTTCAAATGCACCTTATACTTCCGAGAAGGTGATGCGAATACCCGCGAAATCTTTAGCTTCAAATCTCCTCCTGTAGAGTTCATTCTCACACGCGACCTTCTAGCTTGGAGAGCATAAGCGCGACGCATTGTTGCTTCGTCTGAAGCATGGCCAAATTCATCGCCATCATCACTTTCCTCGTTTAAAGAAAATAATTTGTACAGTCCCAATCGGACCCTGAAAAAAACGCCCTGACGGTAGTTGGCATCTACTATCTCACCGGCGCTCGGTTGCGGCCCAACTTGAAGTGCCTCACCAGCTTATTGTCACTGACGGTGGATGCTTCCAGGTGAGAGATTACCGCATCTGGCCTACTACCAGTTACCGTCATCATCGCTTGCCAAGCGTGTCTACTTGTTCCGAGGAAAGGTATTTGAACAATTCATGTTCCATCCTCGCGCAGGATACAGACATCTCACGACTTGCCGTGGGATTCACTACAATGCAAACAAGAGCGATTTACTTGCACGTTGCAAAGAGATAGTTTCGACCCAAATAGTTCGCGTTAATCAATGCACAGAGGTTGGGTTTGTACGCTCAGCCCAGAAACGGAACTGAGAGTCACTTGGTGACTGTAGCTATTTCAGCAGTGATTTATATATGATTGATTCGATTAAAGTAGTGCTATCTAAACGCTTTACCATATCTTATACTCTTGTGACTACACCGATCCTGTGGTGCAGTGGTATGCTGTTCACTTTAGAACCGGGAGGTCCAGGGTCCAATCCCCGGGCCGGGTAGAGCGGGGTTAGAGTGTAATGAATAAAACCCTACAGCACGTGGTTGACATGGCTTACACGACTCCTAAAAAGGGGTGTCGTTCTTAAATATACATCTAGTGATTTGACTACTTGGCAGTCGGCTCGCAGCGCACATGTACTCCGGACCTCTCTTCACAACGATCCGTCATCATCATAAAAGCCAATACTCCGATGTTCACAATTTCACGAAGGTGCAATGTGAATTTCGCACATTTGTTCGATATCATAATCTTACTAAAAGTATGTCTTGTAGCACATTCTGAGAGTCTCCGAATTACCTTGAAAAGTGAATTATGAAATGTCACTTTTCAAGTGAATTTCTCAATGTTACAAGTGCTTAATTTATGTCGTTTTACTTTTGTGCTGATATTTACACAAGACACAAGTTGCATATGTCGTCGAAGAAGACGGGGTCAGCTCATGCGCTAACTGCCGCTCTAGGAACAGCATTAGCAGCAATAGATTCTTTGGAAGAAGTAACGAGCACTTCAAAGTTTAATCTCGCAACCGATGTTAAAATGCAGAATGTAGAGGACGAGAGATTGCGGCGTGATCAAGACACGGCAGCTGACGCCCAACTCGCCGCGCCGATCAACCCGTCAGATGCCTTAAAGTCAGTAAAGATGGAGGAAAGCGGGATCGTTGATCAATATGTACGGTGCTCGGAGTGTAAACTCAATCATAGTTCTTCGCTTGGGGACAAATTGCGCGTGTGTGGGAGTTGCAAGCTCGCTATTCATACGAAATGCTACGCTGACGCATTGCCTCGAGGTGAGAAGACGATAAAAAGTAGCTTGCCGAACGTGAGCCTACACTGGAATTGTGATGCTTGTCGGCGTGGAGTGGACCCACGAGTGATTAAGTGCGTTTACTGTGGGATATCAGGTGGTGATCATGCAATCAAATTGGTAGAAAAAGATAATGATGACGAATTCTGGAAGCAAATCAAGCAATTCGACAAAGAGGCAGCAGAACCGGAAGATTATGGCCATGTGCTTTGCATTAACTGGGATCCACGCCGACTAGCCGCGCATATTGTCAAGGAAAGCAAGATCGAACGTGTGAAGAAATCGCCCAGGAAGGAATCTGCAAAGGAAATATCAACGGAGTCCTTAAAGAAAGGAAATGTGGCTATTGAGAATGGAGGTTTTGACGATACAAAAACGACATTTGTGGAAGAGCTTGAGGAGGCAGTACCTGACATTAACGATATGCGAGATCCCGTGTCTCCAGAGAAATGCTGTTTCTGTCACTCCAATAGTGGTGTCCGGATTCAATGTCGACGAGTACATTGCGGGCAGTTCTTCCACGCAATGTGCGCACATAAAGGCAATGGTCATGTCGAGCTTCGAACTGGCCCCATGTTGCAATTCCATGCGTACTGTGAGCGTCATCGCACTTGCACCGAAGACATTGGTGATTTACTAGCGAAGCTAGTTACGCGCCCCGTTCGGTTACTTGTTGGCCGTGACGATATGCGTCGATTTGCTACAATAGCGAAGCATTTGCAGGATTACACTAGTGCTGGAACAATCCTGCGTGATCTGTCAGCATTGATGGTTGGATACTGTCACAAAAGTCTGCGCACCAGCAAGAGCGATCCGCCAAATTATAATGTAAAACATCTTCAAGTGGTTCAATTTTTTCTAAGTCACGTGCCTCAACTCGAAAAGGTTTACGGACTGCCACCGACCCCTGCAAAAAACTTAGTTGATGATAAGAAGCTGTTTCGACGCTTGCAACGGACTTTCGATCCTCCGAGGTACGTGGCGAAATACCCTGGCCCATTAAGTCAGCAATACACTTGTGACGTGTGCTTAGACCCTTTCCACGAGCGACAGCACCTGTTTTATTGCTCTGAAGGTGACATTCCCCATGTTCAGCATTGGAGATGCACCAAACGCCAGATTTCTGGCCGAGATCGCGAGCGATCGACATCAGTGGCGGGAAATAGTAGTACCAAGAAGAAGCGAAGCGCGGTAACAGTTGTCCAAAATGGTGTCCGAAAAGAGATAACGTTGCCAAAGGGTCTCCCTAGCATAACCGATGATGTCATTTGCGGCGTCTGTGGTGCTTTGGTTGATACCCGTGGTCTTATTTCATCTCGCAAAGAAGCAAAGCATTTGGAGTTTGACAAAAAGGAGAGCAAGTTCATGCAGAATGGCTGCTATATCAACCCCAAAGGTCAGCATGGCTATTCGTACGGCACTGGATCAACATCATCTCGCAAACCACCAAGACCGAATGATGGAAAACTCTATGGCAGCTACTCTTCATCTCAACCGGTACTAACTCCTCCTAAAATGGAGCGAATCAATGTTCAGCGCACGATAAGGTGGCTTGCTTGTGTAGCTAACATTATTCGCCAAGCTGGTATCCCAGCACGCACGGGCTCTGACTCGACAGCATCGACAGTAGCTTCCACAGCAGTAGACGTGGTATCAGCGAGCAAACCAGCCATAAGTGGCTCTGCAACCGATGTTGTTGCTGCGCCTTCAGCTGTCAATGACACGATCCAATCAACAGTTAATGCTGAGACTGAGGCAACATTGACAGCTCCTGAAACAGCAGCACACAGGGGCTCAGCGACAGCCGATGCAACAGCAACACTTCTTCCTGTGAAACTGGAGAGTAAAAGCGATTTTGTAAATGAACCGGAAGCTGAAGAAGCGCTTAAGCCTGTCATGACCCCTACGTCGAGCACACGCTCGTCGATATTAAAAGAAAGTTCGCTAGTGACACCTGCCATGCAGGCCCTATTTAACGAAGCGATACGTCTCGTCCAGCCATACGATGCGTATGCTCTGAATAAATTAGAGACTGCACATGATTTTCTTGTCCACCGAAGTGGACCTGGTGTTGCAGTCTTGCGCATGCTCACTCATGAATACACGCGGTTTGTGTATATTAAGCATACACGTGCTGTGGAGAAGGCACGCAATGAAAAGCGCAAACGTGCTGAGCATGAAGCCCAGGAACATCGAGAGAAGGAACGCAAGCGCATGAATCTAGAAGCAGAACGGGCTTTAAAGAAGCAAATGCTAGCAATGCGTAACAAACAGCGCCAACACCTTAAAGCCACGTCTTCTAAGTAATCACTATGCAACAGTTGCAGATCACTCACTTCTACAATTGCTTCATGTTCAATTAATCGTCATTTGACCCACACAAAAGTGTCTTTGACTTAATCGTCCTCAAACTCGCTGTCCGAATCGGAAGCATTCCCATCCGAAATATTCATGCCTACTGCAATCTCCTTCTTAATGACTGCACTGACTTCAAAGCATCCTTCGCATACACTCTGGATAGCGCTCTTGGCGTGTGTGTACGCCATCTTGAAGCCTGGATGAGAGTTTTGCGGGATCCACGTTAAGAAATAAAGCTTGCTAGACTTACGGCCATCAGCTGTGAGAAATTCGTGATCATACACTGCATAGCGACAGTCTGAGTCCGGTAGCGCAGCGCAAAAGTCTAAGAACGTAGCCGAAGATGGAGCCGTCGCGTCTACAACTACCTTGTCGGCTTCAATTCGAAACAAAATGTAACGGTACTTGCGTCGCATCTTAAGCTGCTTAAACTCAGCCACAACGGCTTCCGTAGGAGCGATGGCATTGGCTGGTACGTCATCCTGATGGCGAATGTATTGGGCAACGCCCGCTGTCTTCATGTGGGGTTCTGCCATTGTTCTCTAGCGAGGAGAGAAAATATCTGACTCAAATACACTCTACGTCACCAAGTCGCTGTCATCATGTCACCGACTGGCTACTGTCTACAAATATGTGATCGTTAGCACCATGTTGGATCTCGAGTGCAACGGAGAAAGGAAGAAAGAGATGATTGCTGGTGACACTTAAAGATGCCAAATGTAAAACCATTAAAACCATTTGGTGACTTTCAATGCCGCATGACGTTGACCGCGACACTAGCTGTTTTTAAACCAAGAGTTACCACTAAAATTTATTATCTACAGCGCACTTAACAAAACCTAAGCGCGCTTTGTGGTTTGTGTGGCAGTACCAATAAATTTAGCAGGATAATTGGCTACGAAAGCACACTCAGTTTGGAATCCAGTTAAGCTTCCCCCCTTCTCAAGGTACGAGCGCCATTCTGATGCAATGTGTAGCGTTTTCTCGCTGTGCAAATGCAGCAGGAATAGCCGCAATACTTTTTTATGCAGACACATCATAAAATTGCACGCAGCTTTCCTATATTAGATATTAATTATCCATCAGATTGACTAATCGTGTGCGTAAATCATTTGCAGCTCGATATCAATTCTTACAATGGCTGAAGAGGAGCATGATTTCACATTTCACTCGACCGATGCTGGGGCGTCAGAGACATACCCTTGCGAAGCTGGTCAGATCCGTAAGGGTGGCTTTATCATGATCAAGGGCCACCCATGCAAGGTCGTGAACGTGTCCACGTCCAAGACGGGTAAGCATGGCCACGCAAAATGCAACTTTACGGCTCTTGACATATTTACCAACAAGAAGTACGAGGATATTGTTCCTTCCACGCACACTACGTCGGTACCATTCGTGTCGCGTGCTGAGTACACGTTGCTTGACATTACGGACGATGATTTTTGCTCGCTTATGGACGACTCTGGTGATACTCGTGAGGACATCAAGCTGCCTACCTTTCCTGACACTTTTGCTGACGAAATTCGCGCGGACTTTGACGACGGCAAGCAGCTTGTGGTGACCGTTTTGAAGGCTTGCGGAACCGAGCAGATTATTGCCAAGAAGGAAGACCTTTCTGGATAATTGCAGGATCAGATCTGACGCGCCCTTGATAGCGAGGGAATTCCCCTCTTGAATCTAGTATCAAGTGGCGTTTGCCTATTTCTATAGTTTTGGCGAAAAGAAGGCGCCGATAGAGACGTGACATTGTATCCAGTGCTGGGTTCTGTTGGAAAGTAGCGGGCGATGCATGCGAGTTGTAATGCAGCTAAATATTTCTCATCTCTCGGTGCACTAATTAAAGTTCTGCAATGATACATTTGTTTGTACTTGTTTATGAAGTGATTTGATATGCTGAAACCCATGCACAATTGGCTCTACAGCAACTTGAACCGTTGTTCCTCTTAAGTAATAATAGTAAAACCACATCATGGGAACAACTTTATAATTTTGATAACATTCTTTTCGGAAGGATATCATCCTGATATCCATATCTTACGTTCAATTAGGAAAATTTACATTCACTTTGCGATGATAATACACGCCATGTCTTACCAATTGGTTATCTATTTATTGGAAGCTAACGAACGAGTGACCATGAACTCACGAGTCAAAAAATTACATCTCTGACATCCGCGTGAACTCGTCCATTATGTATGTAGCCAACGAGCAGACAGCTTATTTACAAAGGGCATGCCAAGGGTGTTTTAAGACTATGACGAGCAGGCAGTCTTATTTGTAGGTCAATTACGATCCCAATCTCATCCAGCTCATGATTTAGATTGTCGACGTGAAAGCACCACTATGAATGACTGTGTTACCTTCAACGACAGCCTTTTCAGTGGTTGATGATTCGTTCATGCTGCTGAGGCACCCGAGGTTCAGTACTACCGCTGACGAGATATCTGCGACTACCGCGGAGCTGCTTAGCAGCTAAAAACTAGTTCATCTTTAGCATAGCTGAGGTCCATCGCCTCTAGCGCGCTCACAGAGGCATCATTTCTAGATTCCTGACTGATTTTGCAGAACGGAAGTCCCACCCCGCATTTGATGCGACATCCATCGCTTCCTCAGAATGTCTCGGTGCGAGCCGCACTCGCTCGAATAACATTTATGAAGGTGATAACGTCACCCTCTCCGGGAGTCTTTGCGTAGAGGGAGCTAAGCAAAGGTCACCGACCTTCCGTTCTTTCCAAGAACCAGTACGAATGTAGCGGACGCAATCCGCTATCACCAAGTACTACAACCTTAGGCAAGGCAAAAGACACTTGTGTTCAAAATCGAAACTGTATTTAATTGTTTGATTTGTGGCAAAGCCGTCAATAAAAAAAAACCAAAACCCTAGGTTTTCCTGATAAATATAGTAATACTTAGCTCATATAGCAAAACCTAATTAATATAGTAGTATGCATTACTACTGGCAATCCTGCCATGGTGGCTTCTTGTTACGGCGTAGCGACACCTCTGTATGAGTACACTAACTTGAGTTATACACACCTATGTATGGCCGCACTATATGTAAGATCCGCCCTTTCTTACAAAGGTACGTGTAACTCCTATACAATACAAAGAAAGGACCATCGAACGCACCGCCTTATGACCAGGCAGCTGTTTTGGATGCACCATGCTTGCACAGACCTACATTAACAATATATTTGTCCATAGTCGTATTGTGATAAACTTTGTGATCCGTGCGTCCGATGCTGCATAACGGCCTCCAACCACCAAGACAATCGTACAGTCTGGTTGTGGTGAGTGCAGTACAGTCCTGTGTTATCTTTTTGCGAAGGTACTATTGAAATCGGCACATAGCAGAAGTTAAAGAGGTGGCTTTTGGTCCTTTCGGTCGTCAACTTGTAGGCGCCTTTGATGCGGTTGGGCTATCAGATTCTCGTTTTTATTGCACCTGTTACCAATCAGTCAAGCGCTTGGCGACTGAATAGCAACGTGTCACATTGCTCTGCTGCCTAATATATTTGATCTCAATGTAGTGTCTGGGTGCGTCGATGGTCAGAAGCAAACCTGATATCTTACTTGGTTCGAATATTGTCCAAACTCGTGCACTAAATCTGTCGCATTTAATTGACAGTATTGATGGATTTTCACACCGCACAACCAGAGAAGGACGTATGGAAATGAAAGACCAGCACCAGTTGAGTTGCTTACTTTACACGTAATTTCGCGCTAGTCAAACGGCATTTATAAAACAGAATGTTAGTCATGCTGCTGATGTCAATGCTTGCACTAACTCATAAGTTAAGGTGACTCGCTGAAATGGTTTGGCATCGTGATGCTAAACTGAAAGTTGTGAGTTCCACATTTTCTTTGAGTGAGAGTGAGAAGGTTTTATTTAGGGCTGTAAATCGACACTTACTGCAGCTATAAAGGCAAAGCCCGGTTCTTGGTGCATTACACTCCTTACGGTCATAAATTGAGGATACTGAACTATACTCAAAAAAGGGAATGCTCACGCATGCAATGTTTTTTGTGTGCATTCTAAATCCCGGTTCGTATTTATCCCTTGGGTGCTAAGCTTTCGGTTGTAAACAAAGCATCATCGCAATCATTTCGGTGGCAGGCCCACCTTTTGCTCTAGAAGTGATCCCCTCGCGCCGCTGGGAGTAACTCGAGCTAATCGGCTCTATGACGCAATTAAAAAATTATGTTTGATAAACGACACATTACTGCACCTGACGTATATCGATACTCTTGGAGAAAGTCAATTTGCCAAGTGATGGTCATTCTAATACTGCCAAACTTGACAACTTAGACAAAAACCACTTAAATGCCAGACAAATCGTGCCCACAGGGAGAAAGTCGTACCCGGAAAAGTAAAAATGTTATTCTCATTCAGATAGCGTACCAGCCCTTGAGTCTCATATATTCGACAGAAATATCCTGTGTGGATCACACTCACAACTACGCACACACTTTTCTTACCATCTCATGGCAAAAGAAAGTATCGCGCAGGGCAGCGCGTCGTTTTCAACCGATTGAAAGGTCATCCTTGCTTTAGGCAAGTTACTCGGTTGATAGCTCTATTAGCATGATCAAGAGCAAAGTCTGGCTACTTTAAGCACAACAAGAGGTGAGAACGAGTACGTTGACGTCACGCTTGGTTCTTTGCGAGTCAAGTTTAAAAGACGTTCTAGTCATGCGTCCGTTTGATTGATGCTGACTTGTTGAGCCGCAAAATTAGCATGGCAGTTCTCCTTCTTTATCAACTGCTTGTATTGAGTCATGCATGTTTTAAAACTGCCTCTTCACCATAATCCCAGGAGTAGAGTTCATTGCGGACACTGATTGTATTAACCGCTGCTGATTCAGCACCACATAGGAGTTGAGATCCACGATGACGAAAACTGCTCCATAATGAAGCTCTCATTTTACGTTCTGCTTTTCGATTAAACCGGATGTACACACACAGATCGAGTAAATTAAATACATATTCATGACTAGTCGGAAGCGACCTCGTTAAACGTCACCGTAACTTTTGCAATACAAACGAGCAAGCTTGGCTCGCACAACCAGGTTTAGCTCGTTTGTAGTGAGCTTGACACTGTCGTGAACATACTTGGCACCACTCGATTTAAGCTGTGTACGCACCTTTCACTAAGTTTTGGTAGAATGTGCAGAGATCCTTGGCCTTCAAAACTCTGGTGAATGGTAATGACTCGGGTATCGTATTGGGACTTGTTAAATCACTTACAAATTCAATCAGAGCCTACGTCGCCTTCCTCACCAAACAGTTTCTTTCTAATGGTGTTGTGACTTTTTTGTGCCCATGTAGTTAAACAAATATTGTGAGAAGAGCTGGTGACGCAGCGATGGTGCATAAAGTGTGCACAATTTGTCTTTGGCTGGAGGAAAACATCGGTGCAGGCGCACATCTAGCTTTCAATAAATTGTGCTGTATTAGAGAAAAACGTTTGTCTGGGGCTCAAACGAGTTCTCATTTCACTGAAGAAGAGAAGCGAGGCCTGTAGTCTCCTATGGTAGACGTTAAGAATATACTGTTGTCAATCGGACAAGGGTGAAAATCTGATAGAAACATGGTGAGCTTACAAGTTTGGGATATGTGGGCTGCTCACGTAACGTGTTATATAAAGGCATATCATATCATATTAAAGTAATGATATATATATAATAGACTAGCAAGCATAAATGCTAAGAAGTTCACTTTTGATTGTATTTAAGCAAGTATGAGAGCGATTTGGGAGCCTCGTGGCTCGGCACCCGATAAACGTTTTCTCCACGATTCTTTGTGCACCAGCCAATACGGACTCTGATTGCTCACACAACTTCTGTGCATGATGTGTACCAGCCTCGTTGCAGCCGAGGCAACAACACTCACTGATGCGGCAACTGTGCAAAGCACACAATTACCAAATTATAAAAATTTAGGGAAGGTGAACACTTGCAACGGGGTTACACGTACCCTGGTATAAAGAATAAGTCACACAAGATGGTGGGACCACACAATAGTGTGGACACACCGTAACAAGAAGCCACTACGTGGCTGGACTGCCAGTAGTTATGCATGTTAATTAGGCTGTATCATTTACTCAAGAAAACCTACAGATTTAGATATAGGCAGCTTTGCCGCAAATAAAACAAAGAAATGAAGTTTTTATTTTGAATGGAGGAGTTTATTTGCCTTGTGCAGCGGGTCTGCCGTAGCTTAGCGTTTGAGAATACGTACTTTGGGTCGCCGACCTTTCGTTCTTTACAACAACCAAGTATGAATCAGCGGATCGCGAATCGCTTACTCCAAGAGTGATTATTGCCTTTCCAAGGCTGATTGACTCTTCGGTTTGAGTTCCAAAACTGATTTTTATTTTTTTATCCTAATTTTTAATAGTTTAGATTTTACTGAATATATAAAATATATATAATAAAATCTAAATACATGCATAACTACTGGCTACCTAGCTTCGTACCGTATTCGTGTTTGGGTGTGGTCACAACATGCACATTTTGTGTGACACACACCCCTGTTATCAGGGTTCGTGTAATCCCGTTTCACCCTCCCCCGATAAGATTGAGAACATTTACAGGTATTGCCTCAACGAGGCTCGCGCGTTCGCTAGACACTGCAACTTATCGAAACGACTTCCGTGTTCAATGAGCCCTGCGTTAATGACACCAAAATCTCCAAGTCTCGCTGTTCTGACGGCGAGCACGGGCAGAGCCCAACTTAGTCTCGCGTACTCGGTGCAACGTCGGACAGTGCGTCCGCAGCACCGAGGGATGTATATCTTAGGCTCAGTGAGCATAAGCGTCGCGCTCCGCATGCGCTATCAGTGACGAACGACCTCGCTGAGGATGTAGGGTCGGTCGACTACGAGTCTGACACCCCTTTTCCCGTATGGGATGACGAGGAAGGCGAGCTGCACCAGCAGCGTGATACGAGCCCTGCTCGCGCCTTGCGGACCCCAAGTCTGTTTCCTGACTTCTCGTCAACTGAGGGATGTGGTGTAATCACTAACGACCTCGACGGGGAACAGGGGCGGCAGCTTGAAGCTGCCCATAAGGCGGCTCTGAAGCTCGTCCATCCACGGTCGGTCATTATCTCTCGTATGGAATATGGCTTCCACCCTGCGGATCCCACTTTGGAAGCGAAGGACGCTGTAACTCGATCGTTACGCGTCCACATCATCGGGCCCCCGGCCAGAACGGAAGATGGGCTTGCCAAACGGAAGGCTCTTCGTGCTCGATTCTTGGTTCCACAAGAGACTTGTTGGAAGCGTATTGCACTCGTCTGAGTGTTAACGAGGTGGCTCTCGTGTACCCGCAATGCGGACAATACCTGTAGTGCTCGCCCCTGGCGAAGCGCTCTTTGAGCGATGGGTGCAACGGCACCGAAAATTTTTCTCACTGTATAACCTACAGTTGAGCCACAAAGAAGTGAGCGTGCGTGTGGGAGCGACACTTCCGATCTGTGCGGACACTCTTGACGATTTAAAGCACATCGTGCGCCGGCTGCCTCGCCTTGAAGACTACCGCTCTCTGTCGAAGCGACTCCCAGTCGTGGAGCAGGCGAATGCATCGCTGCAGGCAACGGTATAGCGCTTGGATACATTGGAAATGGAGGTTGTTGCACTCCGTGTTCAGAACCAATTGCTAGTTTAAGTTCTGAGTGGCCGCGGGG